AAATCTCTTATTGGTGCTTGGTATCAGCATGAACTAACTTTAAAGCTCAAACCAATAGGACAATTTGCTGGGGTGTGGGAACATTCGCTCCATAGAATTCCTGATCTCCCCAAATTTGGTGTATATCTAAAGTTTATTTTGCTGTACAAGTCTCCCCTCTTTTTTTTTTGGAGTTCTACTTGCTTCCAATGGGAAGGCAAGAGTTCCTGCTTCCATGATGATGGAAGGCAGATAATTCTCTATGGAGTTTGAGCTTGCTCTCAGCAGGAAGATGAGTTCGAGTTTTTTCTTGCTTCTAGGATGGTAGAGAGTAGTTTTCAGCCTGAGACCCACCCCAAAGTAAGTAGCTGAATTGAGGCTTTGTCTTAGCTAAAGTTTAACAGCCATCTGGTCTGAATTTCTCCCTTACCATTAGAGCACTCAGTGATCACATCATTGGTGTTTTTTGTTGTTGTTTGTTCCAGTCTTTCTCCCATCAGATTTGACTGACTCTACCTGACTTGGTCAAATTCGAGTCAAATTGTAGATAATAAAGCCTTTTTAATTTGGCTAAAATCCCAGCTGCGAAAGAGGAAAAAAACCCTGAAAAACTATGCACTTGGTTTCCTGTATTAACAAAACACGTTCTTTTGTTTACTTTTCTTCCATCCTATATCTCCTTCCCTCTTTACTCTCTGTTGTACCAAAAAATCTAGAGCGCGCTTCTAGTGACTTCAACCTCTTTAGAGAATTCAGAACAAAAGTGCACTCACCCCTTCTGGAGTGTTCTGTTTTCTATGGGGAGTTTCCAAGAGACATGGGCAGATTTTTCTTAGGTCTAAAGTTCTGTGTCCCTGCATTGCGTGACCTGACCTCTTCGGCTTTGAGGGTACCAGGGATGATCTAGTACTGTGAGAGGATTTGACTTTGGCATGTGTGATGGCAGATGAGAGCTATAAAGTTAAGTGTGGGTAAGTGCAGTTTACAGGAAGTGTTCTTGGATGTTGTTATTAGTTTTTCTCCTAGGAAGTTGTTGAGGATCCTCATTCTAGTTTGGAGATACATTCTAAAGGCTCTTCTCTATTGCTTTTTCTCCCAAAATTAATCTTGATTCAGCTTCTCTGTGTGCATTTCCATGCAGAACTGAACTTATGTTTTCATAGGTAAATGAGAGACTGAGTTTTCTCAGCTCCAAAGAGAAAGGGCATTTTGCTTCTCTCAGTTGAAAGGCGCCATGGGTGACCAGCGACCTGGTGAGGTGCAGTGGTCATACAGAGAAATCCCTAGCAAAAATCAATTTACAAAAGGCTCATCTAGGAAACACGTATAAGGGCTGATCACCCAGCATTTTGAGCAGAGGTTATATATAAACATATATATGTAAACTGAGACATGTAAGAGGGTATAAATGACTCAGCGGTGACACAATGTGGAGTCCTGCCCACAAGCAGCATGCACCAATCCACCACACAAAATCTCTAGGCCACAGCACAGTTCCTCCTTTTAAGAAAAAACTGGGAAACAAATAATCTAAGAATGAGGAGAAACAAGAAGAATGACCCCGATTTGAGCACTCCATAGGTTTTATGGCACCTCTACTTGCCAGAGTTTATGTAAAATGGAAGTAATATATTTTTGGGCATATTTACATTAAGAAGAAAGAGCCCTAAGGTTGACCTGCAAACTATAGACTTCCTAAGTTCTCCTTTTCTCTATTTACTTTTCTGCCTGCTTTAAATCTGCTGTTATTTTTCTACTAAGATAAAAACCACTGTTTGAATCCAACATTTTTTTTCCAGTGAATTTGTATTTATCTCATGGCTAAACTTCTGAAGTAAAAGCTATAAGATCTTTGTATGTGTCTATATATGTGTGTGCATATATTTAAAAGGACTTTATAATTTCTATAATTTTATCTTTAATTGGCGATTAAATCCATTTAATTTCCCTCTAGCACACCAGACTTTTTTCTCTTCATATCTTATTATGTAAGTTTTGCTATTTGATTTTCACCTAGGTTGTTTCCTTTAATGTACAAATTTAAGGCTATTTAGCTGACAACTGCCTAGGGTAGTGAAACAGGTTATCAAGAACTTGAAAGCCTAAGATAGTAAATAAAGTTCTTTATGAATCTGTAAGATGTATTTCTATCGACATGCCTAACACATCTATGTATCTGTAAGTCATCTATACAAGATTTCATCACTCAAAATATATAAAATAGTTCTAACTAATTGGCTTAAGAAAATAAAAGTGCTTGAATCAAATACTTTATCAGGAAAACATAAAAGACTAGTCAAATCCTTTTTTAAGTTTCTGTAACTTAAGTAAAATCTTCAAAAAAATAAGCTAGCTTTAAAATTATTGGTAAAGTAATATAAGAAATGCCTTAAAAATTGCCAGCATACATTTTTGTTTACATTTATTAATCAAACAATTTCATACTTATCCCTGACAAATACTATAAGGTGTCAAAATTTGGCATGGGGCTACAAAATGGTAAACCCAGCCCAAAAGAGAATGATCTTTGCTTCTATAATTCAATAAATAAGACATTGATATTGGTTTAATGAAAATAGCTACATCTTGAATATAGTGAGATTACCAAACTTCTAATCTTGTGGTTTTAGGTAGTCTAGTCCACAGGCAGTAAGGCTTGTTTTGGGAAAATACTGTTAAAGTAAGTTCTTTAATCCGAGTTCCTCCCTGATGCCCAGAAATGAACAAGGAAAGCTTGGAGGTTAGAAGCAATATGGAATCAGTTAGGTCAGATCTTTTTCACTGTCTGAGTTATAATTTAGCAATGGAGGTTTCAAAACTTTAAATGATAACTGTCACCATTTTCATAAATAAGCTAGGTTAAATGGGATAAATACTTAAAGCTAAACTCATTATAATTTAGCATCTAAAGTTATACTAAATTAAATAATAGGTATTTCATTATTTGAATATTTTCCAATCAAAATATATTGTAGGGAAACATTCTTTCAATAAATGTGTGTCCTTTATAAAAAAGTGAACAATTTTTGTCTAATTGAAACTTTATTTAAAGGTTATGTACAAAACAAGGTTAAAGGAACCAGGAAAATAAGAAATGTAAAGAAAGTTATGAAAATAGTTTTTTTTGGCAATTGAAATTTTAATTTTATATGAGAATAAAAATTTTAATTTTACATGAGAAAGAATCTTGTATTGTAAATTTAATCCTAGAATAAAATGACTCATAGTTTAAGAAGGAGAGATATTCAGGACAAACCAGAGATATTCAGGACAAACCAGGATATTCTCATAATTTTATATGAGAATAAAAATTTTAATTTTACATGAGAAAGAATCTTGTATTGTAAATTTAATCCTAGAATAAAATGACTCATAGTTTAAGAAGGAGAGATATTCAGGACAAACCAGAAAGCCCAAGAATGTCATGAATGGTCTGTGTAAGTCACAACAAGAGGATTTATTTTTTAAAAAATTTTATATAATCAAGCTGTCTATAATTAAAAGGAAATTGGCCTTTCTAGAGATTGGGCTTGATGTTAAAGAAAAACACTTACATACTAAATAATTGGCTAGAACAATAAAATTTTCTCAAGGGGTTCATTTACTCTTAATAAATTATGAGATTATATTTTTTTTACCCCAAAGTTCAACTTTTATGACATGACACTGTTTTTGATTTTCTTTCCCCTTTTAAAGGGTGAAAAATAGTAACACTTTCATTCAACTCATTTTCAGCTTGTATAAGTTTTTTTTACTCAAAGTTCTGTTTGCTGTGACTTGATGCTAACAATGTGTTTTTAATGGTCTAAAGAAAATGCTTTCTTCCAACGTAATATTCTGTGCAGACGCTCTTTTCTTTTGCCTTTTGGTAATTGGCCTAACAGATTTTATGATTTATTAGAACAATTCCTATGCCATTATGATTAAGTTTTGGTTTGCTTAGGAAAAAAACAGATTTAAAACATTTTTAAATTAAAGTTATTACATCTGTGCATCTTTCTGTGTATGCTTGTAAAGTCCTCGTGACATAAGTTATGCGGCTTTGATTCCTGGGTCTAAAAAGGACACCAAGTCCTGTTAAATCTTAAACACTAACAACAATTAAAGCCTCATCTTCAGGCCAGATAGAAGATGCCAGTAAAAATAAACTGCTTTCTGGAGATGCAGGGCAAGAAATTAAAACTATTCAACTCCTTAAGGCCCAGGGACTATTGCAGAGGAGGTGGGCATGTGAGATTGTAAGGGCCAATGTTAAGAGTTAAAATAAGCTCAGTTTTTCTACAAATTAATTATTAATGTCAAAGGCACACTGATGCAAGACCACCATATGGGCCACTGGATCAGATTAATAAGGTTTTCTTAAAGCATTAACTGATTCCTTAATAAGGTTATAAAAGGACTATGAAAGTTACATGTTACAGACAAGATTTAAATTTTCTAGGTTATTTATAAAATTTAGAAAAATTTAACTGACTTCATGCTGTTTTTATTAGGGCTTCTTGTTTAGAAAATTAAGTCTTGCTCAAAGAAGAAAGGTTTTCACCTTTAAAAAAAAATCCTTATCACTTTCGTCAAATGAATGACTTATTTTACAAAGACCTGTGATATTGAGTGTTTTAAACCTCTGATATTTGACAAACTTTCCAAAATCAATAGCTGCCAATTTCCCAGGAGTGGACTTGTGGGCTTCGGGTCCTGAGGTCTCAAAGAAAGGGGAAACTGAGGCCAAGGTGGGCAGATACAGCTGTGAGTGCACACCCAGTCTTAAACCCAGCCTCACTGAGGCAGAAGCCCTGATCTGAGATGCTCTTGGGGCACAGGCAGAGTTGTTACTTCCCTGCTTGGCAGATGAAGGGACGGGTGGCCAGGCTTCCCAGTGCCTCCTTCCACTTGTCCTCATGGCCTCTAACTCCACAGCATCTACAGGGAGTGGTCAGCAAGGGCTGGGAGGCTTGGCTGGCTGTGGGGAAAGGTGGCATTGTGTGGGAAATACGTGACTCAGAGGCACCGAGACAACTCACCAATGACATTGCTTAGGGTGAAGATAAATCTGCAAATAACTTCATTCGGTTTCTTCATATTCTGAAAGCCATTTCCATGAATAAGCACTTCATACGGTTCTGCAAGGAAAGCATTCAAAAGTCTAAGTGAGGAAGCGGGGGGCTGCCTCCTCACTGACCTCCCTGTTCCTGGAGGCCCTCCTCCAACACCAAATTCACAGAGGCTCCTGCAAGGAAGGAGCTGTGTCTGAACCAACATTTGTGTGTTCACCAAGTCAAATCTTCATCCGGTGTCACTGAGGGTCCAGGAGGAGGCAGCTGGGCCTTGAGTACTCAAGGGCCCTGTCCCCATCATCCCTGAACCAACAAGCTCAGAAAAGGCCTTGGCCCCTGCACTGGGCAGGATCAGCACACTGTTCCCTCCCTGAAATCTGCAGCACTTAGTCAGGCCCCAGGGATGCAGGCCGTGCACTCAGCCAGCCCTCCCTGATGTGAGGTGTAAGTAGAGCCACAAGGCTGCCTGAGGACACCCTGTCTCTTGCCTGAGCTGGGCACCCAGGCCTGGATGCCCCCTTCAGGGCTGCTGAACACTCAGGGTCTCTCCTCCCCATCTTTCTGTGTGCCTGTGGCAGGCAGGACACCCACAGGAGCAGGGCCAGGACTCGGGTGGGGCAGGCCAGTCACCTAGGACCCTGCTCAGGGGAATCCATTACAGAAGCCCAGTGTTAGCTGCGATTCCAGAAACCTACAGGTGACTCCTCATCTCCTGCTCTTCCTGACCCACCAAGGACCATGGGCCCCCACCCTGAGGCTCAGGGAGTGTGTCTTCCACCAGTGTGGCTCCTGCCCTGAGCCAAAGACTACAGCGGACACAGAGCAGGTGGGGCTGGCCCGAGGATCCAGCCGGGATTCCCACAGGCCTGCAGCTGCCAAGGGCATTGGCCTCCCGCCTGCCTCCTCACCCAGGCCCTGCTCATTCCAATCCCTGCTGATGCCTGGGCTGCCCCGGTCCATGCACCCAAGGAAAGCTTCCTCTGAACCCTGCTTCCTGCCTTCCTGCAGCACCGTGCCTTCAAGGCAGGCTGTGATCGAAGCTGGCCTGCCGACATGCTTTCTTAGGCTTTTGAGTATTTTCAAAAATGGGAGCCCACAGTTACAAGCCTGAACATTTCCCATAAATATCCAGATTTCTAGCTTTCTTGGAGAATGGGAAATGCAGGCCTCAGTGCATTTGTGTTTCTCCATATCAGCTCCTGGCTGGGACCTAGAAAGCTGCCCTCCTCAGATGAGGAGCTCCCAGGCCCACCTCACTCCAAGGACCCTGAAGCTGACTGATGACATCAGCTGGCTGGGCCTGGACTGATTCACCTGTTCAAGGTGCCAGCCCAGCCCTTATGGGCATCCAGCTGATAGACAGTATGCTATCCTAGGAAGAGCCTGGGACTGTTGGGAGAGAGAGGCTGTGAGAGAGAGCAGGAAAGTCCAGCTTGGTGCCCTGTTCTGAACAACCAGACCTGGGCCCCCTCAGGACAAGCATGAGGTCCTCTCCTACCACTAAGGCTGACAGCAGCTCCTTCCAAATCTGATGCTGCCAGGCTATACTCTCATTGTCTTCCCCCTCAGGCTTCCACAAAGCCCGGGCCAGCCAGACACTGGGTTCAGTGTATGCCTGGGAGGGAGCAGCTGGGCCTGTGGTCTGCACCCCTTGGTCAGCCCAACTCAGCCACCCTGAGCAGGGCTGAGGACTGCCCCAAAGCTCTACAGATGGGGTAATTGCAGACTACATTCTGGGCTGTGTTAGGACTATGTATTGCAGGCAAGCTTTTTTTTTTTTTTTTTTTTCCTCAACGTGGATGAATGAAAAGAGAGAGAGGGCGGCCGGGCACAGTGGCTCATGCCTGTCTTCCCAGCACTTTGGGAGGTTGAGGAAGGTGGGTCACCTGAGGTCAGGAGTTTGAGACCAGCTTGTCCAATATGGTTAAACTCTGTCTCTACTAAAAGTACAAAAAATTAGCCGGGCCTGATGGTGGATGCCTGTAATCCCAGCTATTTGGGAAGCTGAGGCAGGAGAATTGCTCGAACCCAGGAGTCTGAGGGTGCAGTGAGCCAAGACTGCAGCACTGCACTCCAGCCTGGGCAACAAAAATAAAATTCCATCTCAAAAAAACATAGAAAAAGAAAACAAAAGAGAGAAAGGGAGACAGAGACAAAGCTGCATGGGCAAACATTCATTGTAGAATCCCAGTGGTGGATGTAGGTGCGTTTATGTTCATTGCACAATCCTTTCCATTTGCCTATAGATTTGAAAATTATGCCTTAGACATAGACAACCAGAAGACATGGTACAACCTGGGTGACAAGTGGCTCATGGGAAGGACAGACCAAGCCCTTGGGCTGCAGGAAGTCAGAGGGGCTGGTCATCAGGGAGGGCTTCCAGAATGAGGTGTCCTTTGAGCAGGGCTGCAAAGGACAGGTGGGCTCGGCCCTTCAAGCTGAGGCAGGGCTTGCAGAGTGCCTACACTCTACCTGGTCCCACCTCTGCACACAGGGCCCAGAGCAGAGAGTGACCCCTGGAGGGCCTGGAGATCCTACTGAGAGCCTCAGACACCTGCCGGGCTGGAGAGGAAGATGTCTGCTAAAACCCTCCAGCCATGTGTGTGGGATGGGCTCAAGACGGGCCTGGGGCAGTGAGGCCAACAGAGGCCTCTGCCAGGTTGGATATGAGGCCCAGGGCTGAATGGGGGAGTCTGGGCTGTGTGCCTCCCTCCCTGACCTCCTTCCTGGGCTCCCTTGAGCCCTCCTGGCCTCTCAGTGGCAGCCTGCTGAGAAGGCTCATCCTGTTGCATTGGGGTTCAAGGCTCCTGCCTTGGCCTTTCCCTCCAGTGAGTGTCAACCTCTGTGTGGGGCAGCTTTGCCCGTCAGTGAACAGTTTATAGGTCAGAGCTGTGACTGGCGGGTCACATGGGCAGAGGCAGAGGGCCAACCTGGTGGTCAGAGGGCACCTGTCACCTCAACCCAGCTGCCTCCAGGGAGGAGTGCCAACTCACATCCTCACCTGGGGTTGACAGGGCTGCTGAGACGCCACAGACTGTGCATGTCCAGGGACATGATCAGAGGAGCACAGCTGTCATGCTGGCTGCATGACTGGGTGGCTTTACATCAGGAGCAGCAGAAAGATTCCCCAAGGGGGGAGGCGAGCTCTCTCCTCCACCCCCACCCTCAGCACTGCATGGGGGAGAGGCAGGGTGGGGACCAGATCCCAGGACCAATCATGGAAGTGTCAGCACAGCTCCTGTTCCTGGAACCTACCAGCTCCCAGTCCTGTGCCAGTCCCTGCATAGCCCAGTGCCTTTTGGCTCATGACAGGTCTGGCAGCATCCTTTCTGTGCATGGGAGGCACCTCTGGAGCTGGCTGGCATTGCACAAATTGCTCCTGGCCATGTGCCTATGGGGAGCAGCGCTCAGACATGAATCATATGTCTGTCCCCACAGCCCACTACCAGGGCGCCCTGCAGTGAGGAACCGGGAGGCCAGAGCCCAGCTGCTGGAGGGTCTGGTGGTCTTGCTAAGGGCTTCCTGCTGTCCCCATGGAGGGAGGACGCCCAGGGCTCCCTTCCTCTCCAGAAGCTGCAGTTGTGCAGATGCCAGCCATGCAGAGCCCCAGCACGCACAGACAGAGCTCAGGACAGACAGAGGCATCACAGAGGCCCACACAGGGCTGTTACCACCCATGCAGGGACCCTGACTGGCAGGAGGGCATCCTCTCCATGTCCTAGACAGTAGGGATGGGTGCTCAGATTTATCCTGTGGGACTGAGGGATCCAAGGGTGTTTGTGTGGATGCCTCTGTTGGGCTATGGAGGTTTCCAGCTCCCAGGGTGCTGTGGGATGTTGACACCTCCACTTCTTGTTCGTCATCCCCTTAGAACATCGCCTGGTTCCTGTTCCCCATTTTGTTGTTGTGGTAAATTGCACAGATATTTCAGCTCCTGCACCTGCCTGGCCTTCCTGGCCCGTGGGTGGGTTCACTGCCGCTCCATGCCATTTGCTGGTGTTTCCCTGAGAGCTTCTCACACATGCCTTTTCTGGCTTTACAGCTAAACTTATTGTTGTGAGATAACAACACACTGATGGCACACAGGTGCTCACACCATCACCCCCGCACATTCCCCCCACACCAATAGACACTCACGTACACACCCACGGGGGCCCCACGTCCACACCCACCCACCCATGCACACTGCACCACAAACACACTCAACCCATACCATACCACACACATCACACCACATGACACTCACCCACACACCACACACACACATACAACAAAAATACCAAAGACACACCACATATCCCATACACACACCACTCACATCAGCAACACACTCCCAACTTCCCACATGACACACACACGACACACATACACATAAATAGCAAAAACACATACAACAAAAATACCAAAGACACACCATGCATCCCATACACACAACACTCACACAGCAACACATTCCCAACTTCCCACACGACACACACACACACTAGACAATTCCCACATACCAGGCAGCCTTCCCACACACTCCCGTAAGACTCCCACTCATGCCACCCACTCTGCACTATACCCCCCCCACACACATATGCATATATGCTCCATATATACACTCACACCCACACACACATATTACACAGTTTCTTAGCTCCCACAGAACATACACCCCACAAAACAACACACACAATTGCAGTACTCATGCATACTCCACACACACCACACTCACAGCACATATCCACACTCCACACACAGATCACACACACATTTTCACACCACACGGACCACATACACTCTCCCACAAACTTCACACACATGTAGCCTCCCACAGCACACCTTCCCACACGTACTGCACATCCTGCACCCACGCAAACTACGTACACACAAACCACACACATCAAAGACATACACACCATACACACACCACACTTACACAGTCCCCACACACATTCTTCCCCACACATACCAAACACATGCACACCCTCCATACACACATGCACTCGTGCACACCGCCCTTTGGCTGCAGCTCTCACCTCCTACACACGCAGTGGGAGGCTCCACCGATGTCACGTCAATACAGACCTTTGACGTCAGCTGCAACACAGGAAGGGTGGGGCGGGGCAGGGGGAGTGAGCTCCCGGCCACAGGAACCAGGCCCCCAGCCCCTCACATCCACCCACTCACGGAATCAATGGTGCTTTTCAGGGCCTTGAAACCATTATCCACCGCAAACACGTTGTCAGGGCTGTCTGCAATTGCTGTTATCTACAGAGAGGGGAAGTGGCTTGGACTCCCGGCCAGCAGGTGAGGATGCAGCAGGTCCCCAGCCCAGGGGACAGTGTCTTGCCCCCATACTTTGCGGGCAGCAGAATGTCAGGCTCTGAATGTCACAGCTTTCTCCAGTCAGCAGCCCACCCTCGGAGTGTGTCAATCACTTCTGCAGTGGCCACGAGTGGGCCCAATTCACTTGGGGCAGCTTAGACAACCGTCCTTGGGGTGGCCCTGGGAAAGCCACCTTGGATGCCTTTCCGCTAGGCCCCTTCTGCTGTTTGGAATTCCTGTTTGGAATTACCTGGTCCAGATTATAATCAGCCACACCCAGAGTGTAAATGTTGGCCCCCAGTTTCCGAGCCTTTTCAGCCTAAGGGAAAGAATGCATTGAGTATTAGTCATCAAAATACGGGGATCAGAATGCTGTTATCTATGAACTGGACTCACTTCTCTGACAGTGTCCTGAAATGCAAATGTCACGAGTTCTCCATCAGTCATAGCAATAATCATGCTGGTAACTTTGTTGTCTGCAAAGAAGCAAAGAGTGGCCTGCTCAGCAAAGACCCCAGAAGTGACCTCCAGAAGATCCGTAACCCCTGCAGGTGGCGGGGCCCACAATACTGCCCATTCCAGGGCATGACCTGGTGCCCCCACCTTGTCCTCCAGGGGAGAGGCTGCCAAGACCCAAGCACCTGCCACCCAGAGACCCGAGTGAGGGAGGTCTCAGTCCAGCACCCATTTTACAGAGAAGGGACTGAGAGAGGCGGGGTCTTTCCCACCAGGCTACCTGAACCCTCACCCACTAGCAGCCTGTACTGCCTCTGCCTGAGGACAGCTCCAGCCAGGACTCCACAAGCAAAGGCCTGTTCCTCAGGCAGGGGGTGGAGCCACGGGCCCTCTTGTAACTCACAGGCTCAGGGAGGCTCCTGGGGGCAGGTCCTGCTGTGAGCAGAGCCTGCAGGCAGCCCTGCCAGCATCACTGGGCCCAGGAGTTCAGGACTCCAGGTCAGTGTCATGTGGGCAGGGGACCCCAAGCCACTTCAATGCCTTTCATCACCAACCCCACCTTTTCCTGGCAAAAGCTGCAGCCCCACAGTGGGGAGGAGGATTGGGGGTGTGGAAAACCTTCTGCACCATCTGAGACACGGGCAGCCGATGCAGGACACTTGGAGGGGAGATGAGGAAGGGAGGAGGAGGACTAAGGTGTGTGCAAAGGGGCAAACGCCTTGGCTCTTTTCTTTTCCCTCACACACAGCCCAGCTGGAGGGCAAGCACCTCAGGGTTACGAGCAACAGGACTGCACACACAGGATCCTAGGCAGTTCTCAGAACCATATGGGGTAGGGGTTTACTATGCTCATTGCACGAGGGGGTCCTGGAGCTCAGAGCAGATGAGCAACTTGCTGCAAGAGGAAGGGCAGGCGTGGCCTTGTGGAATCTGCACACGGAGCTCTCTGAACCCATGCCCAGCTCTGTTCCCCCTACGGGGTGACCATGGGAACGGCAGGTGCTTACTTCCGTAGTTGTTCATTTCCATCTGCCGAATTACCTGCAAGAAAATGAAAAAGTATTGAGCCTGGACAGTGAGATGATCTCACTGATGCTCTAAGACCTTGTAAACTAATATTGATTCTTGGAGCTTAAGGGGTCTATACCTTTCTAAATCCTGCCTGCATGTATGTGTGTCCTTCAGGAACAATTTTCTCAAGCCTCTGAAGACCCTCCTTTATTCTCTTGCTGAAAAAATTAAAAAATTGTGGTTGACCTAGAAAGGCATTGACTGTTAAAAATCAGCTCCCAAGCTCTCGGGGATCCACTGTTCACCGTGCAGGCCCACCTGGATGGGGGAGGGGGCCAGGTAAGGGCTCTGTCCTGCTCATTCCTCAATTTTGACCAGAGATTTCAAGGCCTGCTGAGCTCATTCCAGATCCACAGAATGCAGGCCTAGGGAACCTCACCAGGGCCACGCTTGGACCATCTCTGGTGACAGTGGAGGTTCCTGTGGATGAGCAACTGTGAGTCAGGAACTGTAATGGGGCTGACATTCCTAACCCTAACCCTAACCCTAACCCTGAACCAGGGATGGGCATCTGAGAGTCAGCAACAGACAATAGGGTTGATATTCATCACTCTAACGCTAACCTTAACCCTAATCCTAACCCTGAACCAGAGATGGGCAACTGAGAGTCAGCCACTAGCAATAAGGTTCATATTCCTAACCCTATCTCTAACCCTAACCCTAATCCTAAACTAACCCTAACAAGGTTTCCCTTGTGTTGGGCACTCTGTCCTTTAACAGGTAGGGCTGGATTTGGGAAAAGTCATCCTGCTAAGCCCCTAGCCCTGAACCCAGCCCCCACAGCCCCAGACCCCTGACCTCACTCAGTTGCCTCCTCTCTCTTTACCCTGCTACAGGAGGTAGCGAATCTGCTTAATTAGAGTGCCTGGCCTCCTTGACTTCCTGTGCCCCTGCAACAAAAAGACCAAAGGCTGGAGAGGCAGCCCCGAGGCTGTGCGTGCAGGAGCTGAGCACTGATCTGCAGGCTGACTGGGGGGTGTGGTCTGTCAGCTGGGGCAGGCAGGGCTGGCTCTGGCGGCAGGTCTGGGACAGGCCTGGAACCAGCCTGGGACTTAGGGACAGGGTAATCCAATGAGACAGGCTGATCCTGCATGGCAAGGCTGGTCAGAGCATGAGCCCTGAAGGCTGGCTTCCCACTTCGGGCTGGAGTGGGCATCTGAGAGTCAGCAACAGACAATGGGGTTGACATTCATCACTCTAACTCCTGCCAAGGCTGGAGCTCTAAGAGCTGTGCCCTGCCCAGTCCAGGAGGGGAGCAGGCCAGGCCCACCAATAGCCAGAAGACGCCACACCCTGGCCTTCCTCTGGCCATGCCCAAACCCCGCTCCCCGTCCTCCCCCACAGACTTGCTTTTTACCACCTCACACCCACTCCAGTCTCTCCCAAACCCACAGTACAGGACACACAGATCCAAGCTCCCCACAGATCCACATGCCACAGCCCACCCATATTCCCTCGAAGCTGCAAATGGGGCCCAGGCCCCTACCCAGTCCTCAGTGTCCTCACCTCTCTTCTGTGCTTCACCTCCTCCGGGCCCAGTTCCTGTCATGCGCCTTGGAAGTGCCCTCAGCTCCCGCCAACAGGAACTCTGCAGTGTCCCCTGCTGGGCCCGGGCACCTCTCTAGGCCACCTCCAGCCTCCTGAGCTTGCTCCTCCTACCTCCCTCCAATTTCCCAGCCTGGCCTGGAGCTCAGAACCCCACCCAGGGATTCCCCTGTCTGTGCCTGCCGTCATCTCTGCACTAAAGAAAGCCCCAGGACTCCCACCACCAGCTCTGACCCTGTCTCCCTCCCGCACTGGCCAGGGCAGGGGGAACAGGCACAGAGCAGCAGCCAGCACAGCCAGGTGGTCACAGGACACACCCCCCTGCCCTGCCAGCCCCTGCACCCGGGAATCCTCACAGCCACCTCCCAGGGAGGGAGGCAGGGCAGAGGAAGGGCAGGGGAGAGTGAAGAGGGGGAGGCTGAGAACTTCTGGAGCACAGGGGCCTGCAGGGAACCTTGCAGCCATGGATAGGAGGATGCAGGGGAGCCGGGTAAGGTCAGGGCAGGTTCTGTGAGTTACTCTGACCGGCCTGCCCTGTGTGTTGTCAGGAGTCCCAACCAAGGTCTCAGGGAGCCCCTCAGCTTCCTAGAGCTCCCTCTGGCCCAGTTCACCAGGCTTCCCTCGGGGGCTCCAACCAACTCACCTTTCTGAGGTGAGTGCCAAGACGGTGTCGCCATCCGTGGAGTAGGTGACAAAAGATATCCGTATACTTGGGCTGAGGAGGAATCATGTGCTGGTGAGAAGCCAGAGGCACCGGCTCAGAAGCCAGGGCAGTGAGACCAATTCCCCACCTCCCACCCAACTCTTCCACTTTGGGGCCTCTTGCTGGACACAAGGGGGTGAGATAAATGTAGTGGAGCACTCAGAGGCCTGTGGAAACAAGGATCCCACAGAAGAGTTAGGATGGAGACTCACTGCATCCCACACTCCCAACACCCCAAAGACACTTGCACATACACACATGCACACACATACTTATGCACACATACAACCACACACATAACACACACACAGGTACACACACCACACACATGTACCCACACCAGGCACATGCACACACAAACACACAGGTACACATACCCTACAATGAACAGGCAGGGAGACACACACACAGCCCTTCCAACTGGCCTCCCTTCTTTGCCTCCTCACCCCGTTCCCTACACTCCCTCCCCTCCCTCATCCTGCTTCCATCTCAGAGGAGTGATTCTCCCTAGCAGCAGCCATGCACACAGCCTCCCTTTCCTCTCCCTGACCCTCCTTCCTGACGGCTGACCCTCACTGGCCCTCAGCGACAGTGCTGCCCTATGTCCCTAGCAGAGTGCCCCATGGCTCCTGCCCTTGTTGCTCATTCATTTTACCAGCAGTCATCAGACTTTTCTTCCTTAAGTGCCACCTTGATCATGCCACTCCCCTGCTCAAGAGCTCTCTCTGGCTCTCTATGGCTCACAACAGAAAATCCCAGCTCCTTGGGCTGGCAAAATTAGCCCCTATGGCTTTGGCCTCAAACTGACCTGCCCAGCCCTCTCCCAGCCCTCCCTGAGCTAACCCATTCCCAGCCAAGCCAAACCACTCACTGCACCACAGGTCCCCTGTCTTTCCCATCCTGCAAGACCCAGTTCAAAGACCCACCTCCCTGGACGCCGCCCTTGACTTTGTTTTCCTTTAACCTTCCATGTGAGTTCTTTGTCCCTTACTTGAACCCTCAGCATTGTGTAACTTGGGGTTCCAGGACTGAGTCACTGGTTTACCTGCCTAATGTCCCTTCCCAGTCTGCGATGTCCCGAAGGGCAAACAGCCTTCCCTAAAATATGCCCAAGTTCATAGGCAGGAGCCAGCCAAGACTGCCAAGACCCAATGGAACCAGTGAGCACTGGCCTCATTCCTGCTTCAGAATGCCACCCTCTGCTCTGTGTCCCCCACCGAGGGACTCCCACGCCTACCCCATCTGATGCGATGTGCCCTCTGCCTGCCAGAGGAAAAGCTCCCTGCAGCTCAGGGGAGGCTGCCATGCAGAGATCAGTACCTTTGGAACCGCTTCACTGTTTCCTCCACCCACAAATAAAGGTCAATCCAGTTGTTGTCCACACTGCCAGACCTAAAACAAAAGGAGATGTGGGTCAGGGATATGAGTGCCTCTGTCAGGTGGGCAGGTGTCTACCCTCCCCAGTCTCCCAGTAGGCCCTTAACAAGTTCTCCAGACCCTAGCACCACTGAGGCTGGGGTGCACCCCCAGTGACCACTGGATCATCCGAGGTCATGAGTTTCACCAGTTGAGTGGCCACCATAAGGTGAGGACCAGCCCCATCTGCCTGGGACTGAGGAGCTTCCTGGGATGTGGGGCTTTTGTTGGCCATCCAGGTGGCTGATCAGGTTAGGTGGGGCACTGTGTAGAGAAGAAATTGGGGTAGATGTATTGGTTGGAAAAACCCCTAATGAACAATCCAAATAAGGAAAATCAACAAAAAAGTTTCACTTATGATAACATCAAACAGAACAAAATGCTTAGGAATAAATTTAAACAAGGACGCAAAGGAAATGTGTACTGAAAACTATAAAACATTGCTGAAAGAATTTAAAGACACAATAAATGGAAAGATACTGCATGCTTATGAATCAGAAGGCACAATCATAATATTCTTAGGATGACAATGTAATCTGTATCAAAATCTCTACAGCATTTTTACAGAAATAAAAAAATCCGTAATAAATTTCATATGGAATTTCAGTAGTCATAAAACAAAATAATCTTAAAAAAGAAGAGCAAGTTTGAGGATACACACACATTTCCTGAATTCGGAATTTATTACAAAGTGACAGTAATCAAGCTATCACGGCACTGACATAAGGACTGACAAGTGGAGCAATGAACAGAATAGAGAGCTCAGAAATCACCCTTCCTGTCTATGGTCAAATGATTTCCAACCAGTGTGCAAAGAACTTTCAAAAAATGAACTTTCATGTGCAAAAGAATGAAGTTGGACCCTTTTGTCCACCACTACAGAAATTAACTCAAAATGGGTCAAAGACCTAAATGTAAAGACTAAAACTTTTAAACTCTTAGTAGGAAGCATAACCTTTATGACACTAGATTCATGGATTTTTGTTTGGCTATGGCATCAAAAACACAGGCAACAGAATTAAAAATAGAGAAGTTGAGACTGTATCCAGATTAAAGACTTTCGTGCATCAAAGGACACTACCAAGGACGTGAAAAGATAACCTGCAGAATGGGAGAAAATATTCACGACTCGTATATACGGGATTAATATCCAGAACATACAAAGAACCCCTACAACAAGGACGGAAAAGAAACGACAAAAAAATGGAACTCATAAAAAATGGGCAAAGGATTTGAATAGGGGTTTCTTCAAAGAAGATGCAAATGGTGCAAATGGCCAGTAAGCACAAGAAAAGATGCTGCACATCATTAGTCACTAGGAAAACACCAGCGAAAGCCCAAAGGGGATACAACTTCATAACCATTGGGGTGGCTTTTATTAAAGACCAGTAACTAATAAATGTTGGACCTTTGTTTGTCAGAATGCAAAATGGTGCAGCCACAATGGGAAACAGCTTGGCATTTCCTCAGAAAGCTGAACATAGAATCACCATAGGAGCCACCAATTCCGTTGCCAGGAATATACTGAAAAGAAGTGAGAGGACGTGTACAGCACTGTTCACAGCAGCATTAATAATAGCCAAATGGCAGAAGCAACCCAAAAAAAGACAAACAAAATGTGGTACAGGTACATACAGAGAAGTATTATTCAGCCACAAAAGGATGAAATTGTGATGGATGATATGACGCGGATGAACCTTGAAAACATTATGCTAAGTGAAAAAGTCTGGACAGAAAAGGCCAAATGTTATATGTTTGCATGATTATATTGTGTGACTCCACGTACATGCGGTACCTACAACAGGAAAACTTATAGATAGAGAAAATACACTAAAAGTGACTAGGGCTTGGGAAGGGAGGAATGGGGAGTTATTGTTTAACAGAATAGAGGTTTTTTTGGGTTTTGGTGGGGGTGGGGTGGTTTGAGACAGGGTTTCACTGTCACCCAGGCTGGAGTGCAGTGGTGTGATCTTGACACTCTGCAGTTTCAACCTCCCAGGCTCAAGCGATCCTCCTGCCTCAGCCCAGGCTGAGTAGCTGGGAGTAGAGGCACACATCGCTATGGCTGGCTAATTTTCATATGTTTTGTATAGACAGGATTTTGCATATTTCCAAGGCTGATCTTGAAAATCAGTCCTCTTGCCTTGGCTCCCAAATTGCTGGGATTACAAGAGTGAGCTACTGCTTCCGGCTGAGAATAGCCAGAATGATGAAACACAGTGATGTTGTGCTCAATACACAATGATGAAACATTTCTGGAGATGGATGGTGGTTGCTGCACAACGCTGTGAATATACTTAACGCTCCTAAATTGAACACTTAAAAATGGTAAATTTTTGCTGGGTGCGTTGGCTCATGCCTGTAATCCCAGTACTTTGGCTGAGGCAGGCAGATTATGATGTCAAAAGATTGAGACCATCCTGGCTAACATGGTGAAACCCCGTCCCTACTAAAAGTACAAAAATTAGCTGGGTGTGGTGGCATGCACCTGTAATCCCAGCTACATGGGAGGCTGAGGCAAGAGAATTGCTTGAACCTGGGAGGTGGAGGTTACAGTGAGCCAAGATCTTGCCACTGTACTCCAGTCCGATGACAGAGAGAGACTCCATCTCAAATATATATATATATATACACACACACACACACACACACACACACACACACATATATATATATATATATATATACACATAAAAGGTACATTTTTTTAAAGTATGTTTTCCTATGATTAAAAAATTACTAAAAAAATAGCAGGGGTCACTCCCTCTTAGAGCCCTCAAAGGTCACCTGGCCAAGAATGGGAGCGCATGGAAGGCTGACTCATTTTCTTCTAATTCAATCCAGTGAATGAACAAATGAATAATGAGTCTCATGAATAAGTGGGACGGGAGTGATCAAAGAGCCTCCCTGCAGGCAGTAGACATTGTTTCTGCCTGGAGGACTATCACAAGATGCTCAGGGTCTTCCCAGCTGCATGGTCTTTGGATGGGCTTTGGAATCACACAGTTCAGAATTTCAATTCAGTGCCATGGATGTCTATCTTGAGGCTGTGGTGGGTCATTCTCTGGCCATGGGCTGCCTCATTGTCTCTCCTTACAATGGGGCAATATCCTTTACCCCCAGCCTTCTTAGGTAGACTCACTAAAGTTGCTTTTGTTTGTTCTCTTTACATCGACTCTAGGCACTCCCTCTGCATTCCCCCTCAACCGATTGTCCGGGATTGCATCAGGGCCTCTGCAGTTCCTGTGAGTTTCCAGCCTGTGGTTCTGCCTTGCCTGGCAGGTCCCTTCATTCCCACCCTCTGTCACTGCTTCTGACCTGCAAACGTCCCTTCATCCTCATCACACTCAGCAAGGTAAAAATGAAGATACCCTTTTTACAGATGGGAACGTGAAGGCACATAAAGATGAAGCAACTTGCTCACGACTATGTGGCTAGTGAGTGGAGTCTTCCTGTCTCCAGAATTGAGTTTCTCCTTCCCCAAGAGCAGCCGAGCATCCACAGACCATAGGAATTGGTGGGCTGGGGTGCACACCCCCCTGAGCATCAGTATCCAAGGGGAATGACAAAAATCAGAGGGACTTCAACCTGCTATGCTGGAAAGAGTGCACACAGGAAGCTGAGTGTTGCCACACCAGCTGTCTCTGGGTGCTTCCCCATCCTCCAGGGCTACCCTTATCCAGAAGCCAGAAAGAAAAATACCTGCACTACTCAGAGCCCAGGAGTGTGGTGAGGGTGCCAGGAGTGTAGGGGAAGGACTTTGGAAACCAGAAAGTGCTGCCACATTCTCCTGAAAATTGCACCACTGCTGCTAGTGAATAAGCACAGAGTGTATTCCCACCCAGCAGGAGGAGCGGAAAACAGAACCAAGACAATCTCTCCAAAGCTGAACATTTGCCCATTTCCTTCGGTGAGCCAGAAGGTGCCTAATGCACAGCGCAGCTTCCCCAGGGCCACCCTGAAACAGACCAAACTGTTACTGAAAGCGCAAGAACTGCCATGTGGCTCTCCAAGTTGCAGAAGAAGCACTTAGAAGCAGCCATCCAAAGGCCTTCTCTAAGCAGTGACATTAGAATACCCAACACAGGCAACAAAGCAATCTCTCTGGGGCCCAATCAAATAGGAGTTATTTGTGTGAAAAAACAAACAAGGAAAACAACACAAAACCCCCAAATATCCACAGTGAGCCTCTGAGAACTGCTGACAGGCAGGTCCAAGCAATCAGCTGTTGCAGGGGCCTGAGGATGAGGATGCTGACTGAGCTGATGGGACAGGGAATCATCTAGAACTTTGGTGGCTTTTTTCCCCATTGAAGAGACGAAGCACCAGGGAAAAGACAGCCAGGGGATTCTTTCTGCTTCAGAAAACAGGAAGCCTAGGTCTGGTCTGACAAAAAGGTTGGCCCTGCTTCTCTGACAGAAGCTTGCATCTCCTTGGGTGGTGTCCTGTCCCTAGTGAAAAAGAGGTGGTGGCTCTTGAGGGCAACCCAGGACCAGAGCTGGAAGGGACAACTCACTTGTCCAAGATGAAGTAGAGGTCAAATGAGCCCTTGCATTTGTGACCCTCTCCCTTTTGCCCCTGGCGCCAGTGTGGCCCGCTGCCAAGGCCACTGCGATGGTGGGTCCTCCTGGAGCCCAGGGCCAGGCGGTTGAAGACTCTCCAGCCAGGTCCATGGTACTGAAGCCTTCCTGCTCTAAAAGGTGGCAGGGGAAGCAGCAGCAGCAGCAGCAGGAAGAGCAGGAAGCAGGGTCCCCGGGGGTTGTGGCTCCCCATTATCTGGCCATCCCTGTGACCACAACTCACTCTTGGGTCCCTGTGCGAGGGCCCAGATAGGCTGAGCATAGGCCACCTGTGGCCACCTTCTCTGCCGCCTCCCCTTGTGCCTAGGGGCCACAACCCCTTCTACTGCCCTGTCACCAGTGCGCACTACAGCCCTCCACCAGATACCTCCCCAGTTCGCAGGGACTAGGATCACAGGGACTAGGCTCTGGCAGACCTGCCTCCAGCTACCTGCCTGACCCTTCCCCCACCCTGGGGACAGAATTCTCTGTCACGATTGACAGGAAGGTTGACATGGTGACTTTGTGACCTGCAGCTCTTCCCAGTGTCCTGCATGTTGACAACACCAGGGGGAGGCACAGGACCTTTGGAGGGGCCAAAAGAGGGACCCTCCATTTCCTTTACAATAGCCCTCACAGTGTCCCTTAAAACCCCAAGACCCTGCCATTTGTTCACTAGAAGAGTTAGCCCAGGTGACTTAGGTGAGGACATCACTGTGGGCGAGGGGGTCAAGGACTGGGAGGGCAGAGTGTTGGCAGAGAGAGGTCATTTCTGTGATACTGAAGTCCCCCAGGGGATGGCAGATCTGAAAGGAGATGGAAACTGCAGTGTTACCAGTGTCCTTGTGAATTAGGGACATTTTGGTTCTCTACACCAGACCACCCCACACTTAAGGATGCAGAACAAGGCCCATTTTATTACGCTGACAGGTTCTGAGGATCAGGCACTCAGGGCAGAGTGGGGAGGGCTCCACATGTCTGGGGCCCCCCGATGGGAAGGCTTGAGCAGCCCAATATGAGTTGAATGATTGGGCACTGGAATTATCTGGAGGCTGCTCCACTCACAAATGTGGCTTCAGGGCAGGAGGGCTCAAAAGCTGGGCTCAGCTGGACTGTGGATGGAGGCCTTGCATGTGGGCTCCCTGTGTGATCTGGGCTCCCTCCCAGCATGGCAGTTTCAGGGTGCTTGGGCTTTTACAGGTGGCCCAGAGTCCCATAGTGAGTATTTTCAGTGAGCAAGGCAGAAATTGTAGAGCCTTTTATGACATCGCCTTGGAAGTCACAGTGTCACTTCCACTAGATTCTATTAGTTCAAGCAGTCACAGCTGCCAAGTCAATGGGAGGAAACACAGAACCCTTCTCTAGGAGAGGAGTGTGCACAGTGTCAAAACTGCTATATGAACAATGTTTTGAATGGCAGAGAGGTTAGAGTGTGGAAAAATATGGGCACCAATGAGTGAGCTTCAAACAGAACTCAGAAAAGTCAGAGTGTGACTATTAGAAACACTGTAATTTTATTTTATTTTGTATGCACAAGAGTGATGTACAATTTAAAATCCTTCTCTAAAAAGCCAAAAATATATCTTTCTTTTTTTTTCTTTTTGAGACGGAGTTTCGCTCTTGTTACCGAGGCTGGAGTGTAATGGCGCGATCTCGGCTCACCGCAACCTCCGCCTCCTGAGTTCAGGCAATTCTCCTGCCTCAGCCTCCTGAGTAGCTGGGATTACAGGCACGCGCCACCATGTCCAGCTAATTTTTTGTATTTTTAGTAGAGACGGGGTTTCACCATGTTGACTAGGATGGTCTTGATCTCTTAACCTCGTGATCCACCCGCCTCAGCCTCCCAAAGTGCTGGGATTACAGGCTTGAGCCACCGCGCCCGGCCAAAAATATATCTTTCAATATGTGTAACACACAAATGATAAAAACCATTGGGTTAGTGGGTTTTTTTGTTTTTTTTTTTTTAATTTTTTTTTATTTTTGGTTTGGGAATTGTATGTAATATAATGGAGTATCTTAAATAAGGAGTATTTCAGAATGAATGAGGCCTGTTATATTTCCTTCAAAAGCACACACAAATGATAAAAACCATTGGGTTAGTGGTTTTTTTAGTTGTTTTTTTTTTTAATTTTTTTTTTGTTTTGGAATTGTATTTAATATAATGGAGTATCTATATAAGGGGTATTTCAGAATGAATGAGGCCTGGTATATTTCCTTCAAAAGCATATATGAGTTATCTTGCTTCATATTCCTCTTGACACTTGGCATTAGCATACTTTAATATTTTTGCCTGCTAGTTAGTCATCTCCTTGTGCTTTACTTTTGCAAGCAAGAATTCTTCTTATGCTTTTCCCCTAAAATTGGCCATAATTCTTTGCATCCCCCTCCCTCAACTCCATCCCCCTCTGTTCATCTTGTAGTGCCCCATTATTCTCATTGGGGTTTGGGCTAGGTGCTGGCGTCATCAGCCCAGATCCTTTCCCCAACAGATTATATCCGAAGATCTGAACATGCAACCTGTTCAGTGCCTTTCCCGGGAAAAAAATACGTAGATGATGGAATTATGAATCTCTGAATTTTCAGGGTCACCTGAAAGAAAATGCCTGGTTTTAGATACAAGACAATTGAATCCTTTTCTTGACATTTTGCCTTTACTCATAGAGGGACAGACAGCACAGCAGGAAGCTAAGCCTTGCAGAAGCTTTTAGAGGACATTGCCACCCACGCCTCCTGTGCAATGCCAGGTGCAGGGGAGAGGGGGGACTGGATACAGACCTGGGTTGTGGGAAGACAGTGGGAGGCCAGGGCTTTGTACTTGAAACATTTGGGTGAGACTGACTGGAAAATAAGAAATTCACAGTAAATTTCTAAAATATGTAGTTGCCAGTGGCACTGATATGCAGAAACAAAATTCTCTAACTATTCTTGAGGGAGACATTAGACATTTTATAAAAATAATTGTGGCATTTGAAGTTAATGTTTTTCTATACATTAGGTAGAGGACCAAGGTGAAAATAGTTCATGTTACTATAAAAGATTGTTTGAGATGCATACTAGGTGAAAAAATTTAGAAAAGCAAGTCTGATTCATTTTGAGGGATAAAATGGAAACATAGTATATCTTGGCAATTTTTTGCTTGTTAAAAATTTAATCTTGTCATAGCGACATGATTTCATTTTTAGTGATATTTTAATGATATTTATGAATGTTTAACACACACATACATAAGATATATATATATATATATATACGTCTGCTGTGTGTGCACGCACGCATGCGCGCACATCTGGTATACATATATCAAATCCTTGCTTGTTTTTGAAGATGTTAATTAACAGCTAAAGCTTAAAGCTTTGCCTCCTTAGAAATAATTGAACCTGGTATTGTGGTATATTGTGATCTCTAATGATACTCCAGCTTTTGACCAGCTTCTGTGGAACATTGCTACCCTGCCCTGCAGACTAGCCCTGTGTGACTCCTGGAAATCCAGGTCCTTTGTTGCATGGAGAGGATGCAAATCATGTGCTGCAGCAGGCTCTGTGCCACTCCTGATGCCCTTTCCAAGTGGATTCCTCAGAGGGGGTGCCTGACATCAGAGATGAATTTCAACCACTGTCTCCCAAAGAGGCAGATGCAGAAACATCACTCCTCTCTGTGACCCTGAGCAAAGCACTCAACCTCTCTGAGCCTCAGGTTTCTGTAAAATGGGCTCAGGCTAAGTTGTCTCTCCAGCCCATCCCAGACCTACCCACATATGACTAATTGGAGGAAGCCAATTCTCCCCCTTTCTCCAGGAATAACTGGTCCGTCTGAAGTCCCATTGCTGAGCTTCCATGAGAAGACAGACACACTCACACACACACACTCACATACACTCACACATACAGTGCCTGTCTCTCCCTTGCCTACAGACAGCCTTCCTCTTACTCTCGGATCTTTCCCAGGGTAAACACCAGATTTGAGTCTCATCCACCTCCAGGCTTTATCCCCAATGCCTCTCAGACAGCACCTCAGATGGGAGATCTCATTCCAGGTCACACCATGCCCTGGCCAGGGCATTCTTTGAGTCAGGACCCTGAGCACACACACATAGCAGTCCAGCACTGCTGGTTTCTCTTTTTCTCCAGGGACCTGCCTGCACCCTTTGCACCTGCAAATCCTCCTCCATCCAGACCTCTGTAGGCAGAGTGGAGCTGTGCCTTCCTCCCCTTCACAGACACCAGCTGCCCTAGATGGCAGTGGATCCTTGCAGCCCTTGTTCTCCTTGCTTCGAACATAATATGAAAAGATGCTTTGTGGTAGTCAGATCTCCTCAGTAGACTCAGTGCATGCCCGGGCTCTCGCCCCCTGACACTCTTTAGTGGTCCTCATCACTCTGTCATTGTGAGTGTCCTCTTGGAGGGCTCCTCTTGGCTCTCATTCCTTGACCTCAGCAAGACATCCCTCTGAACCACACAGACATCTCTTATTACCACCCCACGTCTTTCCTACCTGAAATAACCAGATTTAATTCCAGGACTCCCCCACTGCTTTCAGAGCCCACAGACCACAGGAAATCAAGTGATGATCCTTGAAACTTTCTGAAACTGAGCTCCCCAATTCTACAGGGGATCTTACCATGCCCAGCCTTCCCCACCAACACAGGGCACATCTCCCCAAGGCTTCCAGCGAACCTGGGACACTAATCAGGGTTCCCATTACCCAACTCAGCAGGTGTTGCATCCTGGGAGATGAAGCCTCACCAACCCCAGCAAGTTAAAAGCTTGTGATTCTTGGTTTACTACCCATCCCTTGGGCCCTGACTGCACACTGATCATTGCCTCATCTGGGAACCACTAGCCACATTCTCCCACATTACCTATCTGTCTATACCTTAACCAGGTTGTCCCGGGTAACTAGGACTCCAATCCAGCTCTGCTGTATCTAACCTGTGACCTTGGGTAAATTTGCATCCTCTCCATGCCTCTACTTTCTCACCTGTAACGAGGGTCACCTTGGTGCTCTCTTCACTGAATTGTTGGAAAGATTAGATTGATTAAGGTATTTTCACAAGTCACCCTTCCCATCTCCCCCCCGCCCCCATTTCACCAAAGCCTGAAACCCCACCTGAAAGGCCCCATTCTTGACTAATAGAAAAATGGCTAAACAATGAAAAAGAGAGATGACTCAAAAAAATTGCTAAAAGCATGAATGAGAGGACATCACTACCAATCTTACAAAAATAAAAAGGATTGCAAGAGAATGCCATAAATAATTGTACACAAAGATATTAGATAACCCAGGTAAAATATAGAAGTTCCTAGAAAGATACAAATTAATGAAAAGGATTCAATAAAAATTATTAAACTTGAATAGATCTATAATAAGTGAAGATGGAATTAGTAATATAAAAATTTCCCATAAAGTAAAGCCCAGGACCAGGTGGCTTTACCACTGAATTTTACTAAGTATTTAAAAAAGAATTAACACCATTCCTTCTCAACATATTCCTAAAAACAGAAGAGGAGTAAACACCTCCCAACTCATTTTGTGAGGCCAATATTACCCTGAAACCAAAAATCAGACTAAAATATCGCAAGGAAACTACAGATCAGTATCTCGTGAATGTGAACACAAAAGTCCCCTACAATGTACTAGCAAGCTGAATGGAGCAACATGTAAAACTGATTGTACATCACAGTCAAGGGGTACTTATCTCAGGA